TCGCTCCTTTCATCTTCAATTTGCCCTCACACTCACAAGGAGTCTCTGATGTATCAATGATCTTCACTGCGATCTCTACTCGTGGAGTTCGAACTTTTCCGAAGACAACGTTTTGCCTCGTTTGATCGATTTTACTGGCAGCCACGGCTACAATGGAGGTCCCCGCAGTCCACCTCGAACCGATCGCCGTCCCGTGCGCATTTCGTGGATGAGTGAACAGGCATGACAGCGCAGAGCAGCGGCTGTTGCTCGAGTACACAAGAAGATGACGAATGAAGGAGGACGCGTAACACTGACAACGCTTCGACGAAACACGCAGCAGGGACCGAAGCTCTTCTCGTCACAATGTGTCCGAAAATCCCTATCGACGTTGTTCATCGAATGCTGCAGGTCAGCTTGATCTTGAGAGAAACTATCAATCACGCCTGAGAGCCTCTGATCTCCGCAGCCCCGCAGCCATCGCGCTTTGCACATGTACGCCTACGAAAGGCCGCCGATACTTCACTATAAAGCAGCATCTATGATCTGCTCTCCCCATTCACCACTTCCCTCACTTCACCCCACGACCTCCATTATTCATTATGAGCACCACAAACCCTGAGATATGGTCTGTCGCTGTCTGCCTCTACGATCGCCTCACTCCTCTGGACTTCCAAGGTCCTGTCGGGCTCTTCGGATTCCTCGCTCCCGAAGTCATTGCAAATAAGCCAGAGGTCCTCGAGCAAGAGGGATCCTCCCCCTTCAAGTCTGTGCCGAAGGTCGCACTCGACCTTCACTACCTTTCGGTCTCCTTGGATCCTGTAGTGACAGATTCAGGACCAAAATTGGTTCCGACGGACCTATACTCAGCAGAAAAGCAATACGATGTGCTCCTCGTTCCAGGAGGTAATCTGCAGGAAAAAGCGGTGCATATCATGAGCTATCATACTGACATGACTTGTATTTTTCTCAAGGATCGAACGGAAACCCTCAAGGTGTCCCTAAAGAATTGCTAGAATTCTTGAAGAAGCAGGCCCCGAAGGCGAAGTACGTGCTCACCGTATGCACGGGCTCGTGGATTCTCGCAGCAACCGGCCTGCTCGATGGCAAACGAGCGACCACGAATAAATTCACTTTCAACATGGTCAAGGTACGTCCAGCCCGACAAGGAACCTTGCATGTACATGTAGCTAAACCTTTTCCTTCAGGAAACTACGAGTAAATCGATCGAATGGGTCCCGAAAGCGCGTTGGGTAGTTGATGGAAACTATTGGACGAGTTCAGGAGTGACGGCTGGTGAGTGCCACCGTTATGTCGCAACGTAGGTGTTTACTCATTTGCCCGTCAAGGCGCGGACATGGCCAACGCATTCTTGCAACACATCGTTGGAGAAGAAACGGCGAAACAAATTCGTGGTATAATCGAACTTTCATCGAGGGAAGAAGGCGATGACGAATTCGCTGACTTCTATGGGCTTGTTTGATCGCATTCGTCCGGTGGTCAACGCAAAGGATCATTTTCAATAATTGCGACATGAGTATAATTACAATGAAATGCAAGAGTAAAATTACACGAGGAAAGACACAACTTCAAGGTTGTTTGGGGCCATTTCCCTAATTGTCTGATGCCGCTGGCCCACTCTCGTATTCGCGACCTCGCATATCCGTGATTCCAGAAGCAAGGCGCTCTCCAGCGTCTCGAAGATTCTCAATGGAGTCGTGACTATACGGATTAAGGCCCTGTCCCTGCCGGCCTTCCATAATGCCCATATCAGTGCATCGCTGAAAGCAACCTAAGAGCACGAGAGACGTACCTTGCTCTTTCTTGAATTGCTCGTCGGCTTCCTCATCAGATCCCTGGTACATATCCTGCATCTCGCCCTTCAGATCTAGCCCCTCGTAACTCTGGTCGACGAGGCCTGTTTGGGCTGTCTGACGATCTGTTCGGCCGCGTTGGCTATCGCGGGACCACTGCTCTCCCCCAGAGCCACCTTCGGAAGTAGCTATATATGTTTTCAATAGCGCGTCAACGAAATGGACACAGAGCGAGAAGCAGACTATATGCACGCACTGTCTTCAGCGGGAGGGAAGTTATCGACGACGTCGTCGGCTGACTTGAAATTGTTTTGCGTAGTTGTATTGGACGACATGAGTGAAAGTGTTGAAGATGAAGATGGTAAGAAGGGAATGGTAAAGAAACTAGCTCGAATTTATATTCCTCTCGTTTCCCAAATTCACGCGCAAGATGTGCATGACGTCATGGGCCGTCATACCAGAAAGGCAAAAGCGCGTGTTTTCTTTGTGACTACATAAGCAAGGCGCCTGATGTCGCGTGGTTAGACGCCTGGATTGTGCGTGCTTGACGTCAACTGGAGCCTTGTTACAGCCATGGCCTGAGTTTGCGCCGCCATGAGCAGTGCACGCATCTCTTCCTCATACCACCTTGACCTCATCTCCTCTCTCAAACTCTGGTAGCTGCTGAAATGTCCGAGAAATTCCTCTACAAAGCTGGCCTGAAGGTCATGAAGAAGAACCTTAGTCAGTACGAAACGCAGGACCCGCTCTACGAAAACTACGTGGATAAGAAAGGGAAGACGAGACAAAGAAAGGTGTGTGCTATTGTCTGGTCATTGCAAGGAAAAGAGATTTGACGAATGTTATCAGAGAGAAATCCCACCTGGCCTTTCGAAACGCGACGCGAACATCCTCAAGAGTGTCAACAGGCGCGCCCACTACCTCGACAAAGGCTTCAATTTCTGCGGCCTTAGATTCGGATGGACGGCAATCATCGGTGCGTCGCGAGATTTGCCACGTATTATTATTTCTGAAACGCAACCAGGTATAATTCCGATGGCGGGGGACATTGCGGATGCAACCTTGAACTATTATTTGGTGGTCCGAAAGGCCAGACAAGCAGAGTACGTTCGTATCAGTTTCCATAACTAAAACAAATTCTCAACCTATAATAGTTTACCCGGTTGGCTCGTCCGCCGAATGCTCCTGAACAATATGATCTCCGCAGGCATTGGATGCGTCCCCATTGCAGGAGATATCGCCATTGCGGTCTTCAAGGCTAACTCGCAGAACGCACGCTTACTACGCGACTACCTCGAAATACGAGGACAAGAATACCTCAAGGCCGAAGCCGAGGGACGCCTTCCCTTGGAAGACAAGACGAAGGGAAAGGGCAGCAAGAAGTCGAAGGGGAAAGGGAAAGCGGAAGAGAAGTCAAAAGAAGAGCAGCTGGAAGATGTTAAACCAGGCGCAGGGATGAAGGTAGGGGAGAGTGTGACAGTATAACACCCCATCTTTATCTAGTTTCCTCATATGCCGCATTGCTAGGATATTTGTATACCATGAATACCACTTACACGAGCAGGACTTATCAAATTTCAATTAATTACCTTCCTTTCGTGAACAGATCTTCAGCATTCCTTGAAGGGGAGGAGAACAGCATTACCGTGACCGACCCCTTGATTTTGTTACTCTACGTGGAACACACCTGGAGGATTGTTCCACTAATGAGCATCTCGGACTTAATTTGTCGGGGCATGCTATGGGGGCTGACGGCGTTCGCCCTCAATTGCTTTACGACTCGATTGCTATAGGGAAAAGTAAGATGTCAATCCTGTCCTAGAGCTCGCAGAAGAGAAGGGGTCTACTCGTCACTTTGTGCCACCCGACCACAATCTCGAGCGTGCACCGAGATGGCGAGCACAGCGGCTGGTGGAAAGCATACATGTAAAGTGGCAAAAAACGGACGCCTTTATGTTCTTGGGAGGTTAGCCTCGATGAGAATTCACATGTTTTTTGGTTTGGCGAGGCCCCAGCCTCTGGGCTGTACACGTGAGCGCGACTGAGCCTCGCTGAGGCTGACGACCGTGGCATGGCTAGGATGTCTAAAGACTCTTGCTGTTTTGACTCGCGTTGACGTCGACTCGGGGGTGTTTCTTCCCTGAATGCCAGTGCGCGGCGTCCTCTGAAATTTCACGCGTTTTTTTTCATATCTGGAAGATTAAATATCCCTCAGCCGACAAAGATGTGCCTCCACTGCTACCTGATATCACCGGACTGACGCAGTATGTAATGGTAGCTGGGATCGCAGACTGACCGTGACTTTTGAGGCTGTTCCTGAGTCGTTGAAAAATGCTCCGTCGAGTCGAAGGCTGGTCAGCCACTGGCAATGGGAGTCGTGTTAATGTCGAGGGCTGACTGGTCCGCAAACTTGAGAGCATGTCCATTTCGTGTCGAACTTCCGCATGCCCACACATGCGACGTCGATAGGATTCGAACCTGTGGAATGAAAGCGGAAGGAAATTTGAGGCCGCGATCCAGGCCGACGTCATGGTTGGTATGACCGAAGACTCTCACTATTCTGACTCGCGTTCACGACGACTCGGAGGAGTTTCAAGTTGCTTCCTTGAAACTTGAGGTCAGATGGGGCGTTCTCTGGGCGGATACAGTAAAATGTTACGCGGTTTTGGTTATCTCCAAGCCTTGAAGATATAAGATCGTTCAACTGATAAAAGACTTGCGTCCCCCGCTGCCTGAGCTGAGGTCGGTCGCCTTAGAATCGCCTGACTGATGCACTATTCATGTAGCTGGAATCACAGAATGAACATGCCTTTGATAGGTTGACAGTTAACTTGTTGAACATGTTTGAGCCTGCCAGTGGATCTTCAATCGTCGGCGAAACGCTGGGATGCTGCCACTGGTCTGAAACTGGCAATGAGGGAGCACGTCCATTTCGATGTCAAATTTCAGCATGTCAGTGTGCTTCAGCGCTTCTGTGCCTTGAGTTTTGACGACATGTCGGGCGCATTCGACAAAGAAGCAAACGTTGCGTCGACTCGAAACTGTAGCGGAAACAAACAGGTACAAATATGGCCACGCGGCATGAGTTGCCCAAAGCGGAAGCCAAGTCGCGAGGCTAATAAATTGCTTAAAAACGCGCAAAAAAAATTGCGCAAAACTCCAGAAAAAAGCTAAAATATATTCTGAACACTGTAAAGTGTTAAAAAGCGACGTCGGCAGGATTCGAACCTGCGCCCTCAGAGAGGAAGAGATAGGTTCGAATCGTTCAGATTCAATTCTAATCTCTCGCGTTAACCACTCCGCCACAACGCCTTATTGATTTAAATGTAAATAAAATATTATAACCGTGCAATTCCGGTCCAGTTTAGAATCTCTCAGTCGTCAAAAAAAATCTTGCGCCATACGTTGGTCCGAAACGCACAACTCGAATTTCAAGAGGATGGAAGAAGCGAACGCAGCTACGACGAAGCTGTTGACACTCTTGAATGTCTCAGCTATAAAGAGCGGGAAGCGAAAATGGATCTACGACGAACCTCCTTCCGTCAAACTAAACAAACGAAAAACGGTCAAGCATGTGTCGATCGCGGTTGAGTCCACTGAAAGCAGCGATGGAACGGGCGTTGGAGATGGAGTTGCGGTAGATTCGGGACCAACGGCTATGGCTCTGGACAGTGTTGCTACAAATGAGGAGTCGAAAGAAGAGGACGGTACGTTCTAGGTAGCTTTCATGCGTTGCCTAACGAATGAAATACCTTCAGTGAGTCCGAGCATGTACGGACGGCATTTCGCGTCACAGAACGAAATTCTTACGGAAAAGGCGCGGAATTCGATTGAGCAGAACGCTTGGGCGACTGCTACGGAAAGGAAAGAGAAGTTCGGCACAGTTATCGAGCGAGTCCCGGAAGGGAGCACACCTGCGAAGCCCGTGGAAGGGGCAACTGTGAGCAGCATTCATTTCTGCTCGACTCTCCGCTGCTCACGATTTACGATTTTGTAGCTATCTGAAAAGCTGTCTGCCCGGCTCAAAAGCTCGCAAGAGAGGCTACCTCAAGGTTCGTCTCCGAGTTGTAGATGTTCCCAGTATGTGCTTAAGCTCGAGTAGACCTTCGCCTTCTACAAAACGCCGTCCTGTCCGACATCACTGCATATCAAGACCTCTACTTTCCGAGGACGACCCAAGACTCACATCCACCCATCCGGGATGCCGTCTGTCTTCATTTCCTCAATCACATTCAGAGGTACGTTCTCAACAAGTAAGGCTCCTGTTATAGGCTCAAATAAACCGTCAGAAAACGTCGACGGATCCTGAAGAACAACGAAAAACTCTCTCAGTCGAAAGAAACGCCTACGGAAACTGAAGACATTCGGGACCAAGGATTTGCTCGACCCTCCGTCCTCATCCTACTTCCCTTTCGCTCATGGGCTATGCGCTGGGTCGACTCACTAACAAAACACACCCCAAAACCAGAATTTCAAGTTGAGAACCATGCCCGTTTTATGTCGGAATATGCATTGCCAGAGGGCGCAATCGACAAACTCGAGGACGCGCCTCCGGGAACATATCCGAAGGACCACGTCGACATGTTCAGAGGCAACATCGATGATAGCTTCCGCGTCGGTATAAAATTAACGCGAAAGAGCGTGAAGTTGTTTTCGGACTTCTACCAAAGCGATATCATTATAGCGAGCCCGCTTGGACTGAGGATGTCGATTGAAAAAGACAAGTGAGTAATCTCCGTTCCGACTTGTTGTGTCGTGCTATGCTTATTCGCATTTCCTTGGTAGAAATGCTGACTTCCTGTCATCCATTGAAATCCTTCTGGTAGACCAGATGAATGCTTTGGCGATGCAAAATTGGGAGCATCTGCAGGTAAGTATTCCATTGCTTTGATGAATTAGTCACTAATTCACGCGACTCGTCCTTAGCTCGTTCTTTCGAATATCAATGTACTTCCAAAGGAAATTAGGGATACCGACTTCTCAAGAATAAAACAGTGGTACTTGGATGGACAGTGAGTGCTTTGGCTTTGATTTTTCCTGCACCTTCATCTGATTATTATCATAGCGCATCATACCTCAGGCAGTCTATCTTACTCGCGCCATTTGAAACCCCCGAGTTCCGCTATTTATTTAACTCCTTTCTCAAGAATACAGCAGGGAAGAAGAGAGTAGAATCGATGTATCAAGCGGTGCAGGTGCCGGAAGGCGTCTCTCAAGTGAGTCAAATTTGTTTGTTCTCCAAGCCTGGTCTGATTATTGGTGTAGGATTACGTGCGGTTCGACTGCAGTAGTCACAAGGAGGAGCCGGATAAGCGTTTTGAGTATTTCACAGAAAAGGTTTGTTACGATGGATTGATTGAATGAGGGTAATGTCTGAACATATGTTGCAGCTTCTCCCGACCGTGCTCAAATCAGCCGTACAGAGCACGAACACCGTCATCTTCGTGCCCTCGTCATTTGATTTCATCCGAGTAGAAAACTACCTCCGGAAGCACGAAGGCGTCACATATTCCGTCCTTTCAGAGTATGTCTTTTTCGCCTGCGCTCTGATGGAATTCCCCTCTAACAAATTGAAACAGGTATTCAACGAACTCTGATATCGCCCGCTCCCGACACGCATTCTTCACCAATAAAGTGAACTTCCTACTCATCAGCGAGCGCTTTCACTTCTTCCGGAGATACAAAATTAGAGGAATCAGAAACATGCTCTTTTATGGGCTCCCTGACCAGGCGCAGTTCTACACGGAGTTTCTGACATATCCTTTCCTCGACGAAGGTGTCCACCCCGCGGATGTGACTTGCAGAGCTCTTTACTGCAAATATGACTGGATGAAGTTGGAGAGGATCGCGGGGACGGAGGCGGCTGCTGGACTTCTAAAGTAGATGCGCCTCGTGTTTTAAGATCTTTTTTGCTATCGCAACATTTTCATCTCAAGACGGAGGGCACAACACCGCCAAGGATTTTCGTGTTGTCCATCGAGGTCGAATTTTTACTTGTAAGCCAAGGATATTGAACAGGTATCATCACTACATGTATCAGGTCGTTTGTCCAGTCCTTTATTGATCATTAAATTGATTTCAGAGGTTTTTCGGACGTCTTCCGAGTACACAAGTCAGCGAAAGCATCAACTGGTAAAGCGTGAGGCTGGCAATGCGCTCTTGATAGCCGTTCTTTCATCATTAAAGAGTTTTTAGTGGAGTCCTTGAAAACGCGCCCCGATCAGACACTGTTCAAGTGAACTTAGAACTTTGCACGCCCACGATCTTCCGAAGGCTCTGCGTCTAATCATCGATTCGAGTTGCCTTCGATGTTTGCCTTTCTTCTTCTTGTCGCAGAGAAGCATCGGAATACACAGTTGCTGACCGGATTCGTGTATCGGCGGCATGAAGATTTTTTGTAATTGAAGACGATTCTCCATGAGGTGTGTTATTTGCGGACGATTCAGGATTGAGTGGTAGACTCAGATCCGTATAAGATTGCAATGATAGTTCCCGATTTAAAGGTGCGAATGTTTGGTATGGACTTTCCTGCGGATGAACAGCATGGAGATTGTCCTTTGCCGAAGACAAGTTTCCGAACGTCGCTGCGCTAGTCAAGGACGAATTGTGATGAAGCGGTGCTCCGGGGATGGCTTGCGTCGTCGGGTAGCGCTGAGTATGAGTAGCCTGATACGAACTCTCCTGCAGATGTAGCGGCGAGTGATGTGTTGGCGAGAATGGAACTGGTAATTGTGGTAGAGGGTCGAGCCTGAGGTAAGAGGAATTGTGCTGCGACCCAGTCATACCAGCATCTCCGAAAGCCCCTGGGAGATCATACGACCCATCTTCGGGGTAAGTATCTCCTGAGTCTATTGTGATGTTCACATCGTCAGACTGCGCAGAAGATGCTCGTAAATGGGACGAGGACGCGGATGCAGACATGAGTCGAGTAACTGCGGCGCCTCCAGCGGTCCCGTTAAGAAGTAGGTTTGAGCGATATGACCATCCCGCATTCTGCCTTTTGCGCTCCTCTTCAGTGGCCTTCCTGCCCCTTCTTGTAAATTGGAGGTTGGCAAGACCTATTTCATGGGAGTGTTGCGAGTGATCTGGAAGTAAAAAACGGACATCAGGATATACCCCAAATATGACGCGGTGTGGAACCTACACATCGCTCGCACTCTGGCTGTATTATGATAGGTCTTGTAAGCGATAAATGCAGGGCAACCTTCTCCGCCGAGCTGAACGAATTTCAGTATATGGTCGTCTTATGCTCTCGGAAAGACAAGCGAAGATGATAGGACTCACTGTCCGTTTGGGGACCATGCGTTGTCGCTCTGGGTATTTTTTGACGTAGGTTCTCCTGCCCGAGCGATTGTGACGTGCACATACGAGTTTTACATGTTCTTTAAATCGTGGGGGATCCGCCTTCGAACCATGGGAGTCGCCTTTGACGAACTCCACGGTGTCTTCCTCCTCGACCTTGTTCCGCCACTCCACGAAGTGGTCTAGGGACTCGAATTCCAACGTATAGCCATCGTCAAAGTCGCCTGAGCCATACGGTGCGCGGTCGGCGAGCTTTTCTGAGTAAGGAAGCTCTACTTGGAAGGAGGGTCGCTGTGCCATGAAGGTGACGCCGTCGGTCCCCTCGGCCCCTGAAGAGGAGTCGAATTCCGACGCTGCTGACGCGTACTCGCTGGCTTGACGTTGGGTGTGATTCGACGTGAATTGGTTGTGCTCCTCGATCTGGACGATGCCACGTCCTTCCGATCTGTAGCTATCGCCAAAGTCGCCTGGGTCATAGGGTGCGACGCGGTCGGCAAAATTTTCAGAGAAGGGTAACTTTACTTGGAAAGACGGTCCGAGTCGTTGCCCATTAAAGTCGAGGATGGAGTTTCCTTCTCCCGAGGACGAAACCGATTCCAAGACGCTCTCGATGGCAGACTTATCCGGGGAAAAGGTGGCATGAGATGAACCTTGTAGTTCAATTCGACGATTAGCTCAAAGACTGTTGTGTATCTATTTTGTTGATTCACCATCTTGGTTTTCTCCCCATATATCTTCGCTGGTGTTCGTTCTGTTCTTTAAGTCGTCGTCTTCGGCGACTAATTCGAGCAACCCAACTGATAAATTATTAGCTCACGCTACGAGAAGCCGAAAGTGCTGCATCCGTGACACACCTTTCACCCCATCGATAATTTCTAAATTAACTTGAAGCTGTTTCGGCCTTGAGCCTCTTGTATTGACAAAATTTCCTTTAGACTGCTTTATTTTCAGCGATGTTGTTTACAGTAACATAAACAATTGATGCTCACAAGAGTATTTGCTTCTTGGTC